GGTTGAGGGTTTAGGATTTATATCAGCCCCACAATCCCGGATAATTTAGGGACAGGCAGAGGATTGGGGGCTTTGGGGCTGCGCAACTTCTCCACGGAGCCTGAAAGGTCTTACTGGTCTCCTGTCTTAACATAGACATACGCCCAAAGAGCCAAAAGAGCCCTAGACCCTAACCCCTAAACCCCCAAGCGGCCCTAAACCCAAGAGCCAGAAGACCCAAGTTCGGGCGCGCCGGCCCGAGGCGTTCGGAGTGGCCTGCAAGACCTGGAAGGCCACCGACCCACGAACCCTGATGCCTCGAAGATCGGGGCTCTGTTTGTTTGGGTTTAGGGTAAAAGGTGTTTCTGTAAGCATGCAAAAAGGGTGCGATAGTGGCTCTAGGAGGGTTTTGGGGGGTCTTACAGAAGTTTCATCAGGGTTCCTTGGTGTTTGAGGTTGTTCCTGAGCTATATGCACGACCCCAGTTTCATCGGCACGGCCCCAGTTTCATTGGCACAGTCTTTGTTTGTTTCTCGATTTCTTCCGGACTGTCGACGTTTCTGCTGCTTTTTGAAGGCGTTCCGCAGAGGACATGGCCACAGAGCCGTGAAAACCAGCGTGAACGAAGAGGAGATGCCTGGGGTTTGAGGGGTCGGCATCATCTGGGCTGGGATGACAAATCTGCCGTAGGGTCATATTATATGGATACTACGTTAGCTATGTTGAATTACATTTTGTTACATTTTCTTGTGGCATAGTCTAGTGTGTTGTATCGGGAAGCAATAGAAAACCCTCATAATCCTGCAAGCCTTGAGCTATTCCGGCCATCTTCCCTGGGGAAAAGGACCCCCCCCCGCCCCGCCCTTCTTGGGAAATACGGAGATCAAGATGTCAGAAAATCTGAACCCCGGAGCTCCAGAGTCTGACGCCTTCGGAGGCTTTAGAGCTGGGGTCTAGGGTTTCAGAGAGCTGAGGGGTTTAGGGTTTAGGNNTTAGGGTTTAGGGTTTAGCGTGGGGGGGGGAGGGGGTTGCGGGGGGTGAGGTTTGGAGGCTCCGCAGCTTCGAGCCTGAAAAAGCTCGCTCTGCACACCACCCGTTCCCCCCCCCAAAAGTCACGGAGTTTGGCGGGTCTCCCACCTGATTCTTCTGGCCGATTCGTCCTTTGCTCTGTCTGGCCGTGGCGAGGAGGCCAGATGCTAACAGAAAGTGGAAACAGAAAGAGGTGGTTTCGTCCAGATGCTCCCATCACGGTCCCATGTCGTGGCAAGCCATGATGATGGGCGGCACTGAAGTGCGCGAGCATCGAGGACTGCGTGTATGCCCAGCTCTTTGGCAACATGGATCTGGGACCGCCTTTCGGCAGAGTGGCGTGCGGCCGACAGTGGCACCGACAAGGTGAAGGCACAGCCATTTTGCACAGCCCTGCGGTCCTTCAACCACGATCCTTTCAGAACCATGCAGGGAACGCCTGAAAGGCGCACGTTTGGGGGCCCTGCACAGCCTTCCAGCACCAAAAACTGCAGGTCCATCCCGTCCCAAGCTCCGAACTTCGGAGCCCAGAAGCCCTGCAGCCCCTCGACCCAAACAGGGCCTGTACACACTGCCACGACACCTTTAGCTTCAACGCCGCACAAAACAGCCCTAATTAACGCTTCAGTCCGTTCTCTTGCCAGGACATTCTTGACTTCAGCGTCGGAGAGTGTTCCATCTGTGGCTTGGAAGCAACTCCTAATAGCCGAATAGCGATGGGGCCCTGAGGGCCTTTGGGGGGTTGCCTCAAATTCCTACACGGTTTAGGGGTTACGGTTTAGGGATGTTTGGGGGGTCTCTCTAAGCCCCTCGAAAAACCCTTGCAGAAAGCATGCAGAATCCGCAACAACACCCTCACACAAAATTTCCAGAAACACTTATACAACCCCCCCAAACAGAGCCCCTACAAAACCCTAGTAGAAACTAGAAGCCGTTGACAAACCCTTCTTAAAACGGGGCCCATAAAGGAGGACCACTTGGTTCCCAAAGCCCCAACAGTAATCAAGACATCCCTTAGGAGGAACCTTATTCTACAGATGAAGGTCGCCATACTAAATCCTTGTACCCCTGAAGGAGCCACAGTTTTAAGTATTAAGGCCCCTGCAAAACAGGACCCTTGTAATATCCCTCCCTTGAAGGAGCCCTTGACGGAACCGCCTTACCGCCTTCGAGTTCTAACTATGAAGGCCTCATAGCCTCTCTCTTATGATGCCCTCAAAGGAGCCCTGAAAGGAACC